TGTATTTGTAAGGCTTTACGCCAATCTAAGAGAAATCAATCAAAACAATATTATCTCCTTCTTCAATCTCTAAATTCTCTGATCGTCATCATCACAAATCCACCTTGAATCTTTGTTCTTCGAGATGACTCTTCTTCCTCAGTAGTTGTCTTCTAGACTTGGGTTTACCGATCTTCGGGTTCATAAGAGAACCTCTAGGTTGGATCTATCACCGGAATTTTTTCAGTAACATTCGAACTCGTCAAGAAAGAAATCAGCTTTGAGCCTAGTAAGAGGCAGGCCATGGAGAAGATTAGGAGTTTGAAGAGGAAGTATATTGGTGAGGGTAAAAAAAGAGTAGAACCATCATCTTTCTCGAAACCTCATGATAAGGAATGTATGCGATTGGCTAAGTGTATCTGGGGATCATATGGTATGCTTCTTTTAACATCTGTCAAGTCTAAGAATGGGAGACCGAACGGTTGAAGAAGAAGAAAAAGATGAGGTCTTGGCTTATGTTGGAGAAAGTTTGGGGAAAAAGGTAGTAGATGAAGATGAGGAGGTCTTGGCTTATGTTGGAGAAGGTTCAGGTAAAAAGTTGGTAGAAGAAGATGAGGAGGTCCTAGCTCATGGTGGTATAGATTCAAGTAAAAAGGTTGTAGAAGAAGATAAGGAGGTCGTTACTCATAATGGTGTAGATAAGGCAGTAGAAGAGAAAGATAAGGAGGTCTTTACTCATGGTGGTGGAGATAAGGCAGGAGAAGAAGGTGATAAACTTACTAATGGTGGTGGAAATTTGGGTAAAAAGGCAGTAGAAGAAGGTGATAAAGAGGGTCTTACTAATGGAGGTGAAAACTTGGGTACAAAGGCTGTAGAAGATGGTGATAAAGAGGGTCTTACTCATGGTGGTGGACAACAATCAGAGTCACCTTGTGTAAGAGAAATTGATTGGTTTGAAAAATCAGTTCTGGTCCAATCCATGGTGCGTTTTGGTGTTGAAGAACATTATGTCAAAGAAAGATGGAGGTCGTTCCCTGCGGAGACTAAGAAGAAGCTTGAACATGAGTGGAATTCATTGGTATCAAAGGGATTCCAAGTTGTATCGCTCAAGAGCAAATATATGAGTGATCTGGCTTCTATGTTTGGGGAATTTATATAATACATTTTCTGTTATCTAGGATTAACCCTCTTTTATATCTCCATCTAACTTTCGGGTTTCATCTTATGACTGTTCTTCGGATCGTTGCTCGCTTGCATGTAAGCATTTCTGGTTGATCTTGTGAATATTTTCCGGATTGTTGCTGGATTGCATGCAAACTTTTCTGGTTGATCTTATAAGTTGTTTTTTGGTTTGTTGCTTGCTTGCTTGTTAACTCCATGGAAGTAAATGAGTCAAAGATACTTGGTGGTATATAAGTTGCAGAGCTTTGAGGTTTCGTTTGAATAAATGAAAACAAAACATCAATACAAAGATCTATTAGTGAAAACCAACTACTTTATGCATAAACTTCAAATACCGTTTCGAAACAAGTGAATCCAGAACTTAGAGCCGCATCTCAACACTCTCATTTGCCACAAGTCTGCGCTTTAGTCTTTCAGATTAATAAAAATAGAGAGAATTTTGGAGATATACCCAACATTATTGTGGATTTTTGAAAAATACACCATTTTTAGATTTTTTTGAAAACTACTCTCTTTGAAAAATACCCAACATGACATCTCGAAACTTTTTCCTCTCGACCTTATCCTCTCCAGAGCCGCTGCTACAATAACTTTTTTGAGTTTTGGTAATTGGGATCCGGCGTTTGGCGGCTTCCCTAGCGCCGTTGCCGGATCCACTGTCTCTTTGTCTTCCTTTTCGCAGTAGTCAAGTTTCTCGGATCCTTACTGTAATTTCTTTAAGAGATTGGTCTTGGCTTTGATTTGTAGAAGCTATGGAGTGGTGTTGATGGCGGATTTCAATTTATTCTTGGTCTCGTGCGGAGGAATTGAAGAGTCGGATCTTATCGTCTTTGCATGGGTCCGGCTAGGTCCGATAGGTGATTATCCTCCCTGACTTTGATCTGAAATCTCGCCGGATTTTGTTACTCCTTCTCGACTGTGGTGATCGGAGCTTGCTCTCCGTAGCTCGGAAGTGCGCTGGATATGTCTTGGTTCTGTTGTAGGATTAAGCTTGTTCGTGTTCATGTCTCGTTTGCTCGGGGTGCTTGTGTATGATCGTCTGGTCCACTTCCTCTCATGTCTTTGGCCTCGGCTCTGGTCTCTGAGTTGTCGTTTGGCTATAAGACGTTCTAGTTTTGGACATTTGCTTATCCTGGATCGTTTGGTTCAATCTTGTTCTCCTCTCTAGATGTTTTAGTGTGTTTGCATTCGTGTTTTGGCCTTATGATAGGAGTTGTCTTGGGGCTGATTTAAAGTGTGAATTTTTTCTCGTGAAGAAGATGATTTTGAGGCTGTCTTACCTCGACTATCAGTTTAGTTTCCTCTCTAACCTTTTCTCCAATTGTTTCTTCTATCGGCGATGCATATCAACAGTTGCCTTAGTGCATTGGGTTGTGTACCAATAGAAGTCTCATAGGTGGGATTGGGTTCTACTCTAGATATTGATGATCTCCTCTTCATGGTTTCTTGGTTATTGTCACACTTTCTTGGCTTGCTTTGGTCTCGGGCTTCGGTGTGTTACTCCGTGTGCTTTTGCAGCTCCCTCGTCTCCTTCTCCTTGCAGTGTATGATCCGATGCATGGGTTCCTTCATTTGGTCATTTTGTGGATGGTCACTAATTAAATGGTTAAACTTTCTATGTAGATAAAAAAAAAAATATTTTTGAAAGATTTTTCTCTTCATTTGCGGTTACAATGTCAATTTATTAACTTTCATCCCCTATTTAAGACACCTATTAGTCGACACTCAAACTCAAAGCATCATTTCATCACTTTGTTTGGCGTTTAAACATTTTAGAGTCACTGTTAGCATTTTTTTCCTTTGAGATTTAATTTATTTTGTGTGGTTTTGCAGGTTATAATGCATTCGATATCTCTGGCAGCAATATCAGACATTTTTCTATAGGCATGCAGTTTTCTCAAAATTTATGTGGTGCATTCGTTAGTTTTAGAATTTAAAAATCTTTTTATGACATCAATTAAACTTGGACGATAGCAATTGGTTTGAGTTCGGCAACTGCG